TTGAGCAAATCAATATTCTCATGGGTAAACAAGGAAATTTTATAGTATATTTTATATGGATTAAAGATGGAATCCATAATAAAAATATATCTATAAAAGAATGCTTGTATTCAAGATACATAAAGCAAAATCTATAAATGAAGACACAGATTGATCAGATATTGTGCACCAGAAATAGAGTCAATACCCATATATGCCGAGTCTTCAAGAATTTCATGAAAAAATGCTATAGAAAGATAATGGAATTTTTTCCAAGAACTTTCTGAAGCCTCCTCATATCATTTTAAAATTACAATCTTAGACCACAAAGACAATCTCAACAAATCCCTAAAACAGAAATTAAACAGCCAAATTTCTAATCACAGTACATAGCCTCTATTAACATAATCTTTTAGAAAATACAAATTCAACCACTTGGAAATGCAAAAAAACCATACTGCTAGATAACTCTTGGAGTCCCATTGTAGCACCTTGGGTTAATGCACTGGACTACAAGGTCAGTTTGAACCACAAGGTCAGTGGCTCAAGCTCACCAGCCACTCCTCGGAAACCCTCTACAGAATTATTACAGGTCAGAACTGATTTGATTGCACTTGACAACAACTGAATAAAAATAAAAACAAAACAGCTGCCTCAAACTACCTAGAAATCAATAGTAGTGAAAACACTATTTTCAGAAGTCATAGGATGAAGTCAAAGCTATGCTTAGAGGGAGAGAAAAAAAAAATGCATAGCCTTAAGTGTCTTCAGTGGTGGTGGTGGTAGTGTGCCATGGAGTCAGTTCCGACTCATAGCGACCCTGCATACGCTTTCTGAGGTTGTAAATCTTTACAGGAGCAGAAAGCCTCATCTTTCTCCTGTGGAACGGCTGGTAGTTTCGAACTGCTGACCTTGAGGTTAGCAGCCTGACTTGTAACCAGTACACTACCAGAACTCCTTATTACTGAAACAAATATGAAAATAAATTGTATTCATTTTGTCCAAGTTCAGAAAAAATATAAAGTAAATGTAAAATATAAATGAATCAAAGAAAAATAATTAATTCATAAATACATAGGCAAAAATTAATGAACTGGTAAACAGAAAACTTAGTAAAGTCAATAAATAAATCCAAGAACTAGCTCATGTGAGAAATTCTGTGGACAAACAAAACTTAGAAAGGCCAATAAAGGAAAGGTACAAATATATACAACATCAAGAGTGAAGAAAGTATAAATGATAAAAATATTATAAATCACTTTAATAATTTTTTAAAGCTCCATGAAATGGATTATTTTGTAGGAAATACATGAGCAAAAATTACTTAAGAAGCAACAGAAATGAATAAAAAATCCTGGGTGAATAGGTAGGAACCTGATCCCCATTCAGAATCTTCTGAAATGGGAAATGTCCACTTGAAAGGACAAGCAGACAAGCCTGGAGCAACTAGAAGGACAAAAGATACTTCTTGAAAGAAAGACCAGCAGGAAAAATCAAACACAATAACAGCAGTCTCATTGATTACTACGAGAACAACTTGCTTGTTCGATAGCGAGCCATTAAGGTAAGTGGTCAGGTCCCCTCAGGGCAACTCCCCTTCCAAGACTGAGACTCAAGTGGAATACACGAGCAGGCATGTGGTCTTGCTGGTGACCATGTTGGTCTACCGATAAGGGGAAGTGGGGGGAAAAACAGCAATGAAGTTGTGAGCTAAATCTGACCACATTCAATAGACTCTTGTCAACCTGGGTTGAGACCTGGTTGACCAGCAGTATAGTGAAACCTGGGGAATCCTGGGCCCAGGGACATGGCCACAGAGGACGAGAGCAGAGAGTGAAGTGTCCAGCTGATATGAACTGAGGGGAGATGCACAAGAACACCCATACTTGCAGATAGTACCCATTTGACCTTGCTTCAATGGCTGGATGATCAGAACTCAACTAGAGGAAGAAAGAAGAGGGAAAAAAGAGTAATCCACTATAATTTGATGAATTTGACCTATACTTATGGATGCAGTAGCTCAAAAGTAGGAACAAATCTTTACAGTGAGGCTCATTCCCACCCCCTCGGTACACAGGGTTGACAGGGATGGGCAACTTAGACATTGGCTACCTAAAATGTGTGTGTGTGGGGGGGGGTGTTACAAAGGCACAAAGTGACTGGCTTACAAGCTTTCAAAAGGGAGCCTAGCTTCAGAGGGTGCTGAGGAAGGTAGAATCTTCACTGAGTGGTTTCCAACCTGTCTGGACTGGACGGGGCTGGTGAAAGGAGATGGGGATAAGACTCTTGTAGTTCAATAGTGAATACTTGCTATCAGGACTGACTGTGAATGTTGCAAATGTAAAGGTAGATGTTTTGTAACAAAAGGAGGGGAGTTGTTGATCTTACAGTCCAAGAGCGAAAGACTCTGGGACCATCAAGGGAGAAGAGCAGAGTGCAGGACCCTATCCAGAGAAGCAGTGATCCCAGAGATGGAGGCAGAGATGATGACGTGGAGAAATGGAGCGGCTGGGGACTCTGGACTCAGGGAGAGAGGCTGTGTGCTGACGGCTGGGGGGCAGGCTTGCAGGGTGTACCCTTTGGTTGTTTGAATGGTTATATATTCCTGAGTATTTTGGTGTACATCCAAAAGAAAAACAAAAACAAAAAAATAGAGGGAATGGAAGCAAATGCTGCTGAATGATGATGCATGGAGGGAATTGTAGCCATGGCAATGAAATGAAGTATGATAAGATGAATATAAAGCTGATGTTCTCCCATGTAAACTATCACTCAATTCACAATAAAAACTTAAAAAGAGAGAGAGAGAGGAAAAAAAAATCCTGGGTGAAGCTAAAGAAAAAATGTCCAAAAACTAACCCATAAAAAAAGACATGTCTTTAACATGATAAAGAATAACTATCTCAACCATGTATGTGATTTTTTTAAAATTCCATTATGGTCAGAAACAAGACAATTGTGAGGATGGCGCAGGACTGGGCAGTGTTTTACTCAGTTGTGCATAGGATTGCTATGAGTCACAACTGACTCGACAACACCTAACAACAATATCCTTCAATTTGGCAATTCTTCCTCTAGTAATTTACTTAAGGAAATAGTCATGATGTAAGCATAGATGTATTTAAAAGGATGTTTATTGCAGTGTTGTTCATAATAGCAAAAAGTGTGGAACAACCAAATACTCAACTAACAGGAAATGGATTCAATAAATGATGTCATATTCAGCCATGCCACAGAATAACATGCATCCACTAAAAATTACATGGCAAAGTAATGTTTGATTATATTAAAAAGTCAAGATAGAGTAAGGTTATTAAAATTATATGTCCACTGTGATTCTATTTTTGTTTGCATTGTCTATACATGTAAAGAAAGAAAGTCTGAAAAATCCTAGATACCAAAATATTGATAATAGTAATTTCTGAGTGGTGCAACACACTAATTAAAATTAATTTAAAAGTTGTTGATGTGGGCGTACTTCAGAAAAATCAGTCGTTGAAAACCCTAAGGATCCTAGTGCTATTCCAGCATACATGGGGTCACAACAAATTGGAACCGACTACATAGCAACTAGGTTATTTTTCATTTTTCTAAGAACAGAGGCGCTCTGGTAGCATAGTGGTTTCGAATTGGGCTGTGAACCTCAAGGTCAGCAGTTCGAAACTACCAGCTGTTCCGCAGGAGAAAGATGAGGCTTTCTGCTCCCATAAAGATTTATAGCCTCGAAAACCCTGTACAGGGTTGTTATGAGTCAGAACTGACTTCATGGCACATAACAACAACAACAACAACACAGTACAACGATTCTTATTTCCCTTTCTTATGTTCCCAATTTGCTACCATAATCTTATACTAATCCTGTTGAGGAAAAGGATTTTTCTATTTTTATTTTTAAAGATTGTGGGGAGAGCTTCCTAGTCTAGAAGATAGGATCACGTGTAGCCCCTGCTCCCCTCAGCCCTTGTCTATGGGCTTGTCCAGGTGGCCTGTTTAGTGAGGCATGGAGACAGGCTTCCATGGCCTTCCTCCTTCCCTGATACTCCAACTCCAGGGAATGAAGGAACCGTCCTCATGAGTCGGGGTTGGATGCCACCCGGACATCAGCTCCCTTGGTTCTTTAGCCACAGGGACAATAACAAGGAGCAAGATCCTCACTCTCAACAGAGGTACCTCTACTTACAAAGCTATGCCCCACCTACTGATCCATTTACTGGGAGTAAGATGCAGGCTAGTCTCTCTCTCCCAGAAGTGTCCCTTCCCCCTGTAGAGTAAAAAAGCCATTCCCTCTAAGCCACCAGCACCACCCATCCCCACCCCCTCCCATTCCTGGACATTAGGGACAAGTCTCCTGTGGGCCTTTAATTTGCAGCAGCAGCAGAAGCAGGTACCTCCCTGGCTGGTGCTCAGCTCCCCTAGGCCTGCTAATGCAACTGCACTGCTCTGTAGCCTGGCAACCAAGCTGCTCCGGCTGCTCCTTCCTCTCCTCCCCACCCCACCCTTCCACCTCTGCTTCTGGCAGCTCCCCAGCCACCCACTTACTCATGGAAGATGTTGGGAAGACTGCATGGGAAGTGCTGGCCATGAAGTCTGCAATCTGCCGCAGGGCCCAGATGTTAGAGGAGTTGTTTCCCTTCTTCATCTGCTCCTGGATGAGACCTTCCAGCTCTTCCCTAAAAGACTGAAGCAGAGCCCCAAGGGGCTGGTCCTAACACAGACTTTCACAGGGGCCCCCCGCAGGGGTCTTCAACTGCCCTACCCTCCTAGGCCCCTGGGAACACCGGGCAAGTCCTCCCCAGATGAAGAGATCCTGTGTCTCCTTACCCTGTGGGATCACAGCCGAGATCCCAGGCTCAGTGATGCCCCAGGACCCATATACCAGAAATGACAGGACTTCACTTTAGAAACTGAGACAGTTTTAAAGCAGCACTATATAAAAATGTGTGCCACTTTCCCTCTCCATTAGCCATGGTGAAGGCTCCACTGGGCCTCAGTGTCCACATTTACTTAGCAAAGGGGTAGGAGGAAGAGTTGGATTTGATCACTTCTTAGGTCCCCTCCACTATGATATTCTGGATGTCCAGACATTAGGCCACAAATAAGGCACTGGCTGTCCACCAGGTGGCAGTGGGACACGTTCAGGAAGAAACAGGGACCCTCTTCAGGGCTGGTGAACCTATAAAAGGACAGGAAGAAGCAGGTCTTCACCCAGTCCACATCTCTTGCCTGATGGTAGAATCCCATCCACTCAGGCCTGAGCCTGGGTTGGTGCTGATTCTACCACCTGTCCTACTACACCTGCCATCCCTCCTAGTCACACTCTGGGAGTTTCCCATGACTCCTCACCTCGTTTATATATATTCCAAAACCTATCGAGCAATTCTACTTTGCACACATGGGGTCACCATGAGTCAAATCAACTCCACAGCAACTATAACAACTCAGGCCCACCCCACTCAATGTTCCTACACTAGAACACAGCACTGTGTGATCTCAACCGGATTCTCACAAACCACATGCATGCTCTGCCTCCCCAGATGCCAGCAGTAGGCAAGGTAGAACTATACCCTCCTCCTGATCCTTTCTGGTAAACATCTGGATATACAGCTTCATCCTGGGGCTTCCCAAGCATGGGATCATGCACAATTTCTTGAGGACCCCAAGCCTTTAGACAACCCCTTGCCTCACTCCTCACTGTTCTTCCTTTTCTTTCCTAAGGGCCTGCAGCAGTTAGAACCAAACCTAGTCCTTCCACAGACAAGCTCTATGCCCAGGCCAGCAGGCATGAATTCACCACATGTCTTCCTCCCCTAGCCCAGGGCCCAGAGCCTTCCCTTGCCCTGTTAACCATTCAGGCTACCCATCTCCTGGGGCTTCCAGGCCCATTCCCAGACCTACCCCACCAAATGCCTCCTCCCTCTCCCCATGCAGGCCAAATTTTACTTGTCCCAACAGGGAGTTCCTATGTTGTGCTGGTAAAGAACCAAGCCTTCTACTTGGCGGCCCACTGGCCTCAAGTGTACATGAGTCTGTTCATTGTTACAGTTTCTGGTGAAGAAGCCAGAATGGAAACTGAGGCTCAGAGGTGGCACAGGAAATTAAGGTGGGGTTTTTGTCTTTCAGTTCCCTCTTTCCCCATCTTCAAGTCAAACTGTTTGCAAATAGACCACCAGGTTTTGCCCTCCCTGGTGAGGGAAGAATCAAATGCCTTCATGGCCAGACTGTCTTGCTCAGGTACTTTAAACTGCCACCAACCCTGAGCAAGCAGAAGAGGAGTTAATATCTTTCAGGTTTACCCTGATGAGTCAGAGCAGCTGCACCCTTCCCTTCATGTCTCGCTGTCGTTTCTACCCCTCTCTTCACCCCCATCTCCTCTATCCTCTTTTCTCCCCCCTTGGTCAGGCCCACTCACTGGGCTCTGTAAGATCATGGTGACGCGCTTCTTCTGTTCCATCAGGTTGAAGTCCTGCCTCAGGTCTGCAGCACGATTCCGCAGCCGCATGTACTCAGGGTCCTCCTCTGAGAAGCGGTCAAAGTAATGCTGCCCCTGAGGGGGAGGTGGGGAGGCAGCTTCCGGGACCGTCTCTTCACTCATTTTCCTGGTGGGTTTGCAATCCACTCCTGGAACCCTACATGGAAAGGGAAGAAGGTGGGAGTACAGGTTAATTCTTCCAATTTGGGTAAGCATTTCCTTAAGGCAAAGGGCTACTGGCTTCCTTTGGATTCACAATGGGACTGAGGGATCCACACTGGGATGCAGCTATTCCCAGAGCCGCTGTTTAGAGGGCAAGACCGCAATAGCTGCCCCGATGCCAGTCTTTAGAGGGCGCTAAAGCGTCACTATCCGATTTGCATCACTCCAGTTCATGGCGACCCCATGTGTTACAGAGCAGTACTGTACTACAGAAGGGTTTTGTTTTGTTTTTTGGTGTGGCGTTGTAGAATAAGCACTAGACCCCAGGTCACTTTGAACTGCAAGGTCAACGGTTCAAATCCACCAACTGTTCCTTGGAACCCCTAGACAGGACCACTATGAGTCGAAATTGCCTTGACAACACTGTTGTTGTTGTTAAGTACTGTGGCGTTGGTTCCAACTCATAGTGACCCTGCACAGGGTTTCCCAGGCTGCAAATCTTTACAGGAGCAGGAAGCCTCACCTTTCTCCTGCAGAAGACCTGGTAGTTTCTAATTGCTGACCTTGAAGTTAGCAGCCCGATTCATAACCACTATGCTACCAAAAACAATCTTTATAGAAGCAGATTGCTAGATCTTTCTTCTGTGGAGCCATTTGTGGGATCAAATCACCAACCCTTAAATTTGCAGCCAAGCACTTAAGCATTGTGCCACCAGTTAAAGCATTATTAGACTAAGATTTGGGTATAGGGTTCAGGTGCTCACTGCCCCTATCCAAAATAGATGGCCAGGTCTCATACCAGCTAGAGTAGATGGTGCCCGTGTAAACACTTGACTTGTAGACCTTATTGAGCATTTCTGTGTTCCAAATCTACATAGAAAGTTTACCAGAAAACACTACCATCAGTGAGTTTCAACTCATAGTGACTCTAGATATGGTTTCTAAGGCTGTAACTCTTGACAGGAACAGACAGCCTCCTTTTTCAGAGCAGCTGGTGGGTTTGACCCACCACCAATCTTGTAGTTAACAATCTAACAGCACCACCAGAATTCCTTCACACTATTTGCTCAAAATCAGTACTTTATCAGAAAATGTATACCCTCTCATTGTTGTTGTTAAGTACCTTTGAGTAGCTTCTGACTCATATAAACCTCCTAAAAAATATTGGTGGGAAATTCACAAAAGAAAACTGAAAAGTGAATAAGAACTAATAATGTGTGAGAAACACTTCACTAACTGCTTTTCTTTAAAACCTTGACTTTGCTTTGGTTTCTGGAAGAGAACTATTGGTGAATCTGTTTTAGTAAAACATTTCTTAATGCAAAATCAGATCTTTATTCCAAATGTAAAAGATGTATGCAACTTTTGCTAATGGAAAATTCATTTCTCCCAAATCTCACTCTAGAAATATTCAGAAATACTAACAGAATTAATACTGGTTTAAGAGTGTGAAGGAGATGCAGGACTTGATGGCAGATAGGGTAGAGGTGCAGTGAAATTGTCCATCAGCAATACCACAGAATACTAGGTGAAGCCGGTTCAGGGCAGAGCTCCAAAACTCTGAACCACATATTTAGGAATATTTTTAAAGTTTGAAGGCTTATAGCTAGTGCAACTTGTAGCAGAAGTAAGAAATCTTGTACTTTAGAATCTGCCAGGCTCAGCAGCACAGAGCTGACAACTTGGGTGAGACCAAAGAGTAAGACCAGTCTGGGAGCAAGCAGACCATCCTAGGAATAACACCGCGGGAAACTTGTAGCACAAGTGGACAATATACAATGACAACTTTGCTTTGTTCTGATTTTTTTTTTTTTTTTTTGGTATCTGTTCATTGCTTCACCACCACCACCACCACCCCCACCCCCACACACACTGTTTGTGAACCTCCATTCTGGTGACTAGAGGAGGGAGGTGCCTGAGTGAGTGGACACCCCCCACCTCCACCACTGGTGGGTTCTTCTGCCACGCATGTGCAGATATACTTTTAGCATTTAAAGCTATAGGCAGCCATCTCAAAAAGGCCACAGCCAGCCCTGAACTGTTTATTAATAGGGAAAAGGACAGAACAAGGAGTATGGAGAGGAAGAGAGAGTTTAAAAACAAAACAGGCCGAAAATTAAATCCTGAAAAACAGCATAAATACCAACAGTGGCTTCTTGAAATTTATCAGGCAGCCTTGAAGACAAGAAGCTGAAAGAGGAGATTAAAATCTCACTCATATTAGGCTACAGATTTTTTTTCCCTTCTTTTCCTCCTCTACCTTTTCTATGATTATAGACTATAGTATCCAATCTAGTTTTTGTTTTTGTTTTTTTGCTGTGTTTTAAAAAAACAAACAAAAAAACTTTGGGGGACTCTTTCTCTCCCTATATTACCCAAGAAGAGACAGCAATTGCTGCTACAATCACATGCTATAAAACCCCACAATTCAGGCAAGAACCAATACCAACAGCCATACACCAGGGAGGCAGACAACACCTGCAAAGGATACTCTGAGTTAAGCAACTTCTCAGGCCACAATGCTATCAAATTAGAAATCAACACTAGGAAGACGAAGGAAATAAAGTCAAATACATGGAAACTGAACAACACCCTGCTGAAAAGTGACTTGGTAGTAGAAGAAATAAAATGTGAACTCACAAAGTTCCTAGAAACGAATGAGAATGAAAACACAACATGAAAAAATCTTTGGGACACAGCAAAAAGCAGTGCTAATAGGACAATTTATTGTAATAAATGCACACATCCCAAAAGAAGAAAGAGCCAAAATGAACACATTAACACAGCATCTACAACAATTAGAAACAGACCAACAGAG